CACTGTGTTCAGCTAATTCTTGCATTTTTAGTAGAGATGGGGTTTCACTATGCTGGCCAGGCTGGTCTCGAACGCCTGGCCTTAAGTTGTCCACTGCCCTGGCCTCCTAAAGTGCAAGCATTACAGGCATGAGTCACTGTGCCCAGCTCGTTTTCTGTTTCTAAGTGGTTAATAATACTGTTTCATAAATCTGCAGTGTTTTTTTGTTTCAAATTCTAGAACAGCAGTTCCCAAATTTTGCTGCACAGAGAAATCGCCTGGGAAATTTCTGATTATTTTGATTCCAGTGCCTATACTGCTTCCCATTCCAGTCAAATCACGATGTTGGGAGTGGGAGCCTGCATTTGTGTTTTTCCAAGATCCCTAGTAATTCCAATGTACTGCAGAGTTTGGGTACCATTGGATTGGAAGCATTTTACTTTCCAAACAAAATTTTTTTTTCTGTATCAATAGGTCTTTTATTGCATCATTTAAACATCACAAGTAGGTCTCAGGAATCATCCAGCATCTTATTCCTGTAGCTGGACAACTCTTGGATCTTATTCACAAGTCTGCTGAACAGTTCCTTTTTCAGAGACATAGATGCCATCCCAAAATTTCCTGATATCCTTGTTTTTAACTGTTGTGGCTTGCTGAATCAAAGCTGCTGATTTTGAGACAAGCTCCATGTCATTTCCTTCAAGGATTAATTCATCTTTCTGGGCTTGAGATACTGAACAAGAAACACCTGGCCTCCTCCGAACCCTGCAGATGTATTTTTCACCTAAGAAATTTCAGATTTCAACAAGAGACCCAGTCTCCTGGATAACGACGCTGATGGGGAAGTGAGCTTACGCAGACCTCATCTTCTAAGGGAAGCCCAGCGTAACACCCTTGATCATGTTCTGTACATGACGACAAATACTCCCAACGGTAGCCAGTTCCTTTCTGTTACCCCACCATTTGTCATCACGAAGCCTCCCTTTTTTTCTTTCCAAGAAAACTGAGTTCTACTTTGATGTGATTGAAGTCCCTCCACAGGGTTCCTCTGGGGCCCTTCACCATCATTGTGCGGCCCTTCAGAGTAATGTTGACATTTTCTGGAATGTTGACAGTCTGATTGTTGAGAATGGTGTCCATTCTCGCAGTAGACACGGCAAAAAAAGCAATTTCCAGACATTTTAAAAACAACTGTGGGCCAGGTGTTGTGGCTCACACCTATAATCCCAGCACTGTGGGAAGCAGAGTTGTTAGGATAGCTTGGGCCCAGGAGTTTGAGATCATAGTGGGAAAAATAGCAAGACCCCTTTCTCTAATTAAAAAAAAACAAAGAATTACCCAGGTATGGTGGTGTGTGCTTATAGTCCCAGCTACCCAGGAGGCGGAGGCAGGAGGATTGCTTGAGCCCAGGAGTTCAAGGCTGCAGTGAGCCATGATTGTGCCACTACACTCCAGCCTGAGTGACAGAGTGAAGCCCTGTTTCAAAAATGTAAAACAAAACAAAACACAACAAAACTGTGTCTCTCTGGGACAGGAGTTCATTCATTCTTATCCTCATTTTGCAAGTGATAACTGAAGCCCTAGGAAGTTAAGGAAGATGATCAAGGTTGAAAGATTGTTTCACGTTCCAGGTAACTGAATTACAAACTCGGTCTATCAGACTAGATTCTGAAAGTGGTGGGATGAGAGACTGAGTAGGGGAGTGGGGAGCCGGCCCTGAAAGAGTGGTCTGAACATGGCTTTGTGTCTGTAGGAGAAACAAGAAAGCCGCTTCACCACTCTGCCCCTCCCGTCAATGCCGTTTCTGTCTGTAGACTGCTGGTTTGCATTTCATTTACAGGGACACAAAATGGAACCTTTGTGCTGGAATTGAAGGAAATTATAAAAGCCCACAGCTTCTCTTCAGACTTAATGTCAACTATTTGTCTCCTGTTATTTTCAAACAAACAAGTCCTCCCTGTGAGTTTTGAGGCAATCTCAAACGCTTTCTCCTTTGGTTCTTTTTATAGTTTCCTAGTCCCTGCTTCGGCAGGTATGAGAAAAACCCACCATTCGTAGAATTGTCCTATCAGCCACATGGCGCGGCTGTAGGGGTCAGATGAGTCCTGGCCAGAGGCTCTGAGCAGGATGGTGGGTTACACAGATGCACACAAGTGTGCAAACAAATGATTGATGAGACCAGGCTTTCCCGAGGATTCAGGGTTCATCAACTAGAAACTTAGAAGCAAGGATGAAAGAGGAATGACTCCCAAATCCCCCAAATTTATTGCCAGCTGAAACATATTTCCACCATCTGACATCGTATTTTACAGATTAGGAGATGAAGACATTTATTTATTTATTTATTTTTATTATTATACTTTAAGTTTTGAGCTCCATGTGCAGAACGTGCAGGTTTGTTACATAGGTATACACTTGCCATGGTGGTTTGCTGCATCCATCAGCCCGTCATCTACATTAGGTATTTCTCCTAATGCTGTCCCTCACCTAGCCCCCACCCCTGACAGGCCCCTGTGCGTGATGTTCTCTTCTCTGTGTCCATGTGTTCTCATCGTTCAGCTCCCACTTATGAGTGAGAACGTGAGGTGTTTGGTTCTCTGTTCCTGTGTTAGTTTGCTGAGAATGATGGTTTCCAGATTCATCCATGTCCTTGCAAAGGACATGAGCTCATCTTTTTTTATGGCTGCATAGTGTTCCATGGTGTACGTGTGCCACATTTCCCTAATCCAGTCTATTATTGATGGGCATTTGAGTTGTTTCCTAGTCTTTGCTATTTGCCAATCTGTGTCTTTTAATTTGAGCACTTGGCCCATTTTTAATTAAGGTTACATTATGTGTGAATTTGATCCTGTCATTATAAGGCTTGCTGGTTATTTTACTCATGAGCATGATGCAGTTTCTTCATAGTGTCGATGGTCTTTACAATTTGGTATGTATTTGCAGTGGCTGGTACCAGTTTTTCTTTTCCATGTTTAGTGCTTCCTTCAGGAGCTCTTGTAAGACAGGCCTGATGGTGACAAAATGTCTCAGCATTTGCTTCTCTGTGAAGGATTTTATTTCTCCTTTTCTTATGGGGCTTAGTTTGGCTGGGTATGAAATTCTGGTTTGAAAATTCTTTTCTTTAAGAATGTTGAATATTGGCCCCCATTCTCTTCTGGCTTGCAGGGTTTCACAGAGAGTTAGTCAGATGGGCTTCCCTTTGTGGGTAACCCAACCTTGAGATGAAGAAATGTCTAACAGTGCCAAAATACGGAAGACAAGAAAATAACTATCTTTTCATTAGAGGTAGACAGGCCCAGGTTGGGTGGCCACTTGCATGCCATGCTCTATGGGGACTTGGAATGGGTGACTTTAAATTCTGAGGCCTATGGTAGGTCTTAGAAGGAGAACTAAGATGTTTTACCTTACAATTAAAAAAAAAATTATGATGTGAAAGTCTAGGTTAAATGACTATTTGAGCATTATTTCTTCCCTAGCCTCAAAATAGTGACATTGTGAATTCTTCTAGAACTGCACCGGTGTGGAAGATTACCACTGATACCCACAGCAGGGACTCCATAAGATCTGGCTCTAAATAGGCTTGACATTCTGGAGCCTGAATGCATCTCCAGGTTGCCATCCTTTGTTATATGTGTTATAACAAAATCCTAAAATATCTGAATAATTTACTTTACAAAAACAGTGGAATTTAAAGTTGCCCCTATCAATGACACACTCACTTGCATTCCACAATAGTTCCTTGATTAGGGAAAAAGAGGGATGGCAAACCTGGGAACTGCTTATCTCGGAGGAGTGTTCCATGAAGAAAAGAGTCAGCCATCACCCCACTACTCAGTCTAAACCAGGGCTCCTCAGAGTATGAACCACAGACCAGCAACATCAGCATCATTTAGGAGTTACTTAGAGATGGGAATTCTCAGTTCCTCAAAAAAGACCTACTGAATCAGAACCTCTAAGGTGGGACCTGGGTATCTGTAGTTGCACGAGGTCTCCAGGTGATTCTAGTACTTGCTAAAATTTGAGAAGCACAGTCTTAGACCCATGGTTCTCAAAGTGTGGCCTCCAGATCAAAAGCACCAGCATCATCTGGGAGCTGTTCAAAAGCATCTGAGACTCTTTTTCAATGGGCATTTGTAGGTGATAGTGGAAATGCTTCACGGCACTTTTAAGTGCTTAAAGGCCACAGAGATGGCAAAATTGAACATAGAAACATAATGAATTCTTAGATATGTGCATGTGTCTTAGAGCTGGAAAGGAACCAAAAGGGTCTCTTGGACTCATTTCTTGTTTCTAGGTAGTTAATAATGTAATCTTACAAATCTCCAGTATTTTCTTTTTCTTTCCCCATTTTGGTTTAAAACAGTGGTTGCTAAATCAGCAGCTCTGGAGTTGGGCCCAGTAACCTGTGCTTTAACAAGCTCTCCAGGTGGATGCAGCCTCAAGTTTGAGAACCGCTACACCATGGTTTCCATCAGAATTCCTCCCAGCCTGGCTGCATAGAACATTAAGACTTCCATGTTTCAGCTTGGGCTTGAGGCCCTGGTAGCTGACTCCTGGCAGCTGCCCATCTCTGCTACATTCTCTCCCTGATTCCAGGCTGAGAGGTGCAGGTTGGATGTTGCACTTGTAGGTAATGTGACCACACTTGGACTCTGGTAGAGGAGATAGCAAGGTTTTGAAATGAGGACTTTTTTTTCTTCACTTCCCCTCTGTGGACCTGTCTCCACACAGCCCCCAGCCTGCCCAGCACTCTCTGCTTTAAGGCTAGGAGACTGGAAAGCAGGACACCCAGAGATTGTCATGACAGTCCACTGCTCTTGAGCAAAGGCATGCCTGCAAGCCTTGGCAGGGCTCACCTGGCTTGTCTCCAGCTCCACAGAAAACATGTCCTCTTCTCAGGAGGTGAAGTCATCTTAGCTTTATGCAGAGACCATAGGTCTTGGACCCCCTAGGGTGGCTACTAATTGTTCCTCTCAGGCCAGTTTGAGGAGGCTCTGGCTAACAAGTATATTTTCCTGTAGGAATCTGGACCTATATTAAGAAATCAGTAAATATTAAAAAGAAGATGGATGCAAGAAGAATGAAGAAAGAAGAAGGTAGGATTGGGAGCGTTACCAGTGGAAGCTCCTGCACTGGGGTTGGCTAGGGTTGGAGGATTTGCAGTGGGAAGAGGCCACTGGACAGCCACTCTCGTTATGCTGGCAGAGAACACAGCACGTTCAGGAGATGGAAGGGGGTTGCCGTTCATTTTGCTCCAGGCATTTGAGGCATTTGAGTTTGAACTCTGCCAGTTTCATGCAAATGCCCTGTCCCACAAGATCTTTACATTTGTTTGGAGGCGGCAAGGGTGAATAGTCTGTGCTTAGAGGCCTTGCTGGGAATTCTCTAGTGAGAGGTAATATCACACATGACTTTTGCAGGGAGATGGAATCCTTCTAAGGCACGTTCTTTGCTGATAGATCTATCCTCAGACAAGCTCCAGCCCCTGGACACCCATGAGGCAGCCTGGGAGTAACTATACGACCTACATCTTCACTTGATTATCCCTATTTACAGCATTTTTTTTTTTTTAACTGCATTTAGTTTGGAGATGGCAAGATGACTCTTTTAACTCCCCTCCCTGCAAAACTCCAATTGAAATGATCAGAGAAATATAGAATTAGGGAAAGAATGCATCACATAAGAACACAGGGGAAGGTAGCAGCTGCAGGAGAGGAATTGAGTCATTTCTGCTAGGTAGAGTGATGTTGCAAGTGAAAGATGGGAAGGACCAACACGCCCATGATTTTGCATCTGTAAAGGAACAGGCTGCTTAAACTAGTGGGTTGAATTTCTAGCAACATCCGCCCTTTTCGGCAAACACCCCAAACATCTGGCCAACAACCATAGTGAAAAGCTTTATTTTCTTTGAGTCTTGTTAAGCTCGAATTCAAACCCACTACTTGTTGGGTATGCAAGCTAGTCAGCCTCAGTTTCATCCTCTATTAAATGGGGAGAATACCTACCTTATAAGGTGTAACTAGGATTAAATGAAATAGTTTAGGCTGGGAGGCATAGCCGAAAGTTTAGCTACCATTTACGGATTGCTACATGTCAAGTACTGTGCTAAAAGCATGTAAGTTATCTGTAATCCACAAGAAAGCTCCATGGACTTTGTCTTATTCTAATCGCCATTTTACAGATGAGGCACTTGAAGTTTAGCAAGGTTAAGAAACTTCTTCAAGGTTCACAGTTATAAAGAGGGTAGTGTAGGAATTTGGAGCAGCCAAGTGCAAAACCCATGCTTTCAAGCACCAAGCTGTACTGTTCCAAGCCCTTGTACTTTCTTTAGTCCTCAGACTAAAGAAAAAAAGTAGAAGTTCAGGGGTAAAACAATTTGAGGTTATGCAAATATTTAAAGTCAATCAAGTCTGCTTGACTCTGTCTCTTGGTTCTTACCATTCTGTCGCTGTTTAATTGATATACTTTCTAGGATGTCATTCTGTTCCCCACATTGAATTGGATTTTGTTCCCATTGAATACAAGGGGTGCAAAATAGAGAGGACCTCACAATCTGATTCCTGCCTTCCCGTTTTTTGAAGAATTGAGCTATTGCCTGTGACTGCCTCTAAATGGCCTGCATTTCTCTTTGCTGGTAGGACTCACAGAAAACACTGGACTTTTCCTGAAGCTGCTTGAAAAACATGACCCCTGGCCAGCCTCTGTCACCTATACCTCTCAGACAGTGCAAAGACTCATTGAGAAGAGCAAAAACAGAGAACTGGAATGCATGCGTGCCCTCGAGGAAAGCTCCTGGGCATCCAGGAAGAATAAGCCTTCCAGCGTCATTCAGCTGAAAAGGAGAAAGTTGTCCCAGTCTTCCGGTGAAGTTGTGTTCAGGGACACGCTGTCAGAATCCACGTTATCAATGTGGGGCGCTTACTCAATATCGACCATGGCTCCTACCATGATCCCAGAACCCACGCACTTACATACGGATTCCAGAGACGGCCCCACTGAAAACTATAACAAGATCATCTTTGCCCGAAAGCCTGTGATGAGGATGCTCCCTACAGTTCGCTACTGACCAACAGGGAGAAACACACAAATGTTTTTAGCCAGGGGTCCCTGCAGCCATCCCCCAAGAATGTACAGCAATAAAGCTCTATTTGCCATGCATTTCACGGTGTCCTTTAAATCTGAACTTGCTCTTGCTCATGCAGAGCTTGGCTGAGAGAAACCAGATCAGAATGTGGGCTGTAGGTAGGTGGGTGTGTGCTCTCCCACACTGCTGTCTGGAGGGGTTGGGCAGTGCTTGACTGCAGTCTCTGCCACAGATACTCAGCACCAAAATATGGGTGATTTGTCTGGGTCCAGGCAGAAGACAGATATCATACCAGCTATTTTATTAGAGATAATATAAATAACGATTAACCAGGTGACGGAAAAGGGCAGGAAGGGAATACAAAGGTATCCATGGAGGTAACACCACAGGGTGGAGGCATCACACTTGAGGCTCGGGAACTCATTGAAAGGTAGTTGCTTGGAGAAAGGATACGGGACTGAATCTCAGACTTCTGAGGTGGGGGAGTGGGGATGCCGCACAACTCGAGCTGGTGTCTCTGAGTTCGGAGGAGAGTCCTTGTGGTGTTGGTGCCCTGGCCTCTGAATGGGGGAGCTCTTTTGTTGGTGTCTCTGAGGGGACCACCATGAGGCTGCTTTTGTGAGTGTTGGGAAAACCAAAAACTGCATTGAAATCTTTCAGGAAGGAGTTGCCACTGCCCTGGTGAAGAAAAAGCACTCCTAGGGTTAGCAACCTTCCTGGCACGGACAGGAAGCTGATAGCAAGTGAACAGGAAGCAAACAGGAAGTGAACAAGGAGCCACTTCCTACTTCCTCCTTTAGTCTTGCAGATTCCTGCTAGTGCACCCTGTGGGCAGAGCCTATCAGGGCACAAAACTGGAATGTGGTTTGTAGAATTCCAGCCCCAGCATCTCCAAGCATAGGATGGATTTTGAAGCCAAGAGAAAATTAGCTCTCAGCTGGGTTCTGAGTGATCCCATTCCTGAAGCTGCTTGAAAAACACGACCCCTGGCCAGTCTCTGTCACCTATATCTCTCAGACCCAGGAAACCAGCTGGGTCAGCCTGTCATAACTGGATCCCTCTTGCATGTGAAGACAAAGGTTGCTTGGAGATGGAGAAAAGTTCAGCATAGCTTGCTTTGGGGCCAACTCAGAGCATGGGTGAACCAATCCTAGCTGTCCTCTGACAAATAACAGCTGGAGTCCTGCCAGGAGCATTTTCCCCAGGCACTCAGCTCCACAAGGCAAACCTCAGAGAAGTGCAGGGGAAAAGAGCTCTCCATTTCTCAGCAGGGGACACCCTGGTCCCCACTGCCACTTCTTTTTGCCCTCCAAGAGAAAAACCTCTCAATACCAGGTCCGGGAGCAGCTTCGTTCATGAGAAACCAAGAGACATCCCTGGCACTCCCAGAAATAGACATGGAGCCCTTACTAAGGCCTGAAGTCCATCACGGGCAGCCAGGGCATGGAGTGGAATGCAGGTTATTCCTAATGTAACCTCATCTGTCTGTCCAAGCTTGAGAGGCCCGGGGTAGCTCAGGTTATGCTAAACATATTTAACTTACATCTCTCAGAGGGACCTGGCTTTCTCTGATGTTCCGCAGCCGACAGCCTCTCTTCATTTATCTCCTCTCCGTATGGAATTTTCTGCTTGGCAGGAGAGCTGTTTCAATTAGCCTCCCTGACGTAGTAGGTTCATGAAACATCAGAATATGTATTTTGTTAGTCTGTCTGTGTTGCTCTGTAACTAAGGCCCCATCTGACACATATTGAGCAGCTGTTTTGAGCAGATTTTTGGCTCCCTGTACAGAGTGTGGTATTTACCCATTTGCAAATTCCTCGGTTGGTGTTTAAACAGTTGAAGTTTAACCTCAGCAACATGACAGAGCCTGCTGGTCATTTTCATATTGGCAGGGGCTATTAGGACATCAAGTAGTTCCAGATTCTGCAGCCTCTCTAGATGTGGCCTGGGAGCATGTCTTAAAGGAGATTAGTCTGTGTGACAGATAAGAGGCTGCAGGAGGCCAGGCGATTACAGGCCCATACCTGTAATCCTAGCACTATGGGAGGCCGAGGTAGGTGGATCACCTGAGGTCAGGAGTTTGAGACCAGTCTGGCCAACACAGTGAAACCCCATCTCTACCAAAATACAAAAAAAATTAGCCAAGTGTGGTGGTGGGCACCTGTTATCCCAGCTACTTGGCAGGCTGAGGCAGGAGAACCACTTGAACCTGAGAGGTGGAGGTTGTAGTGAGCCGAGATGGCGCCATTATACTCTAGAGCCTGGGCAACAAGATTGAAATTGCATCTCAAAAAAAAAAAAGAGAGACAGACTATTAAAAAAAAACCTTCAAAGAGGTAACTGCATAAACAAAGGCACAGTGCAGATGTGGGCAAGCCAGATATTTGGGGGTGGCCCAGGAGGTCTCTAACCTAAACACAGAGGAGTTGTCGACTTTATTGACAGCAAGTCTAAGAGCCACTTTGAAATGAGACCAGCACAGTATGACTAGTCCCTTAGTCTTTTTTTTTTTTTTAATAGAACAGGGAGAACAAGACGGGTACCCTGAGGTAGGGATTTTGATCCTTGGGTCTTAAAGGGGGTCCTCAGAGGCAGTGGAGGAGTCTCATGGAGCAGCACTGCTCTCCTGCTGGAATCCCAACCAGGGACTGACAATGTGTCCGGGAAGAGGAGAATCTAGGAGAAGGAATGCTAGCCCTGCCACCTCGCTTCATGTGGACAGCGATTGTGAAAAGATTGTTAAAGTGCTTTGCGAGCTGGGTCCAAGCAAATGTACACATCTGGACGATGCGGTCCTTTTCAGCCTCGATTGAGTCACTTGGAGGCTTTTTGGAATCCCCACACTTTTACAACAAATGGCGCATTTTCAGAGACCACACATTATCAGTGCCAGATAAGAGTCGACAGATCGAGAAACCAGGGGAGGTAGAGCCGGGGAAGGGGAATAAACAGGGACCTGAGATTTACTGTGATCTGATGTTGTCAGAGCCTGGGCCGAAGCTAAGGGCTGGGCTCGTTTGTCAAGTAATCAGGAAAAACTCCGCCTTCCTCTTTCTCTACACATCCCCTTCCCTCTGTCTCTCACCAGGGACCCAAGACTTCAGCCAGCTACTGTGGTGCTTGGAAGTACCACAACAGTGTCCCAGATTGTAGGGCATGGCTAAGCTGGGCCTGTCCCCAGCACTGAGCATGTATGTGGGAACATGGGAGCGTGCTGGGCAAGGCCAGATAGGGATGAAGGAATATCTCATGTGAGGTGGGGTTTAAAGCCACCCCCATATTCTCTGCCTTGAACCTGACAATGATCTGATTTCTTTATGGGACAGGGCAGAATATACAGGTACCCACTCTTGGTAGCACACCCTGCAGGGCAGCAGATGGCATGGAAAGGACCTTGGAATTGGTGTCAAGACACTCTCTTGTCTCCCAGGCCCTATATTCCAGGGCCAATGGAAATTCCAACCCCATCTATGGCCTTTCTAGGAAGCTTCTATTGCCTGGGACCCAGCAAAGCTCATGGTATCCATTCACTTCCTCTCTGGATTCAACTGGTCAGCCACCCAGAGCATTCTATTATTTTTGGTAGACAAAGGGATGTGACAAGCCACAGGATTTCAGGCAAGTTAAAAACCTGACCCTTGGGGTTGTTTCTGTGTGTCTGCCAATGGGGAGGATTTTTATGGAGAGCAGAGTCAGTCCTGGAAGTACTAACTTCTAGGAGGAAGAAAGATGGCCCTCAGTGTGCCAAGCTCTCTGCTCACATTTTTGCATTTTGGAGCTTGTCTAAGCTTCCCTAGATGTAGGCCCATGCTCCCTAGTTGACTAGATAATTGTGGAAGGAGGAGAGCCCCTTTGAGATTGGAACCTGCGCCTGTCCACTCCCAGTGCAGGTTGCTTCCCCTAAATTCAGATCTCCTCTTCACTGGCATATCCATGACAACCCTGCCGCTGTCCTCAAGTAGGGCAGATGTGCTTGTGCAGTGGCTGCTGACCCAGGTTCAGCCACGGCTCCTCTATTGTAAAGCAGCTCAATGGAGACCCCTCTTCATGGGGTCGATTTGCTGTGTGTCCCTGGACCAGCAGCGGAAGGATGGCAAGGCTGAAGGTCCCATGAGGCCTGGGCGAGGTCAGCTGTGCTCACTGTCATATTTCCAGAGCTCTGCAATGGCCTGGCATAGAGTTGGTGCTCACGTGTTTATTGAGCAAGTGATTTGTGAGAACAAGTCTTAGCACCCAATCTAAAATGCACTGGGAAGAGGTGGTTTCTTTCATCATGTCCAGAGGCTGGAAAAACCACTTGGCTCTTGTAAAGTCTGAAGCACTGAGTAGGCAGCTCTGCTATGAAGGTTCCGTCTAGTCCTGAGAGTGTGATGTGAGTGAACTCTTCAGTAGGTTCTTTTCATATACCTGTCCTTGTGGGATATTGGAGAGAGAGAAGGAGCAGGAGGGACAAGTTCAAAAAACTTAACATTTAGTGATTCTATTCTTTTAAATGACCAATCCACACCTGATGGAATTCCAAGTAGATTTCTTTGTCTTTAACCTTCATCAGAAGTGATGTAATTTCCCAGACCTAACTTGTTCCTTGTTCCCGTGTTTGCAGCATTCCAATGGGCACCCAACAAATATGCACTGCGTGCTGCCTGTGCCGGGCTTGGTGCCAAGGGCCCAGCCGTGGGCACGGGAGATGCAATCAGGCTTATGTTCTGGTAGTGGAGCCTTAGACAAGCGCTTCATCGTGTTGCAGTGGTGATGCGAGTTATGAAGTGCAAGGCTCTGTCAGTGTATTTGCTTTAGGCTCATGACGTGTTCTCTCAGTCTCATGAAAGAGGGATTATGGAAAGAGGCAGGATTAGTATCAGGACAGCTGCTCATAAAATGGGGTGAGGTCATGGCGAATTTTTGGCCAAGTTGAATGTGAGTGGCTGGGTAAGTTTGTAAAACTTTGCAAAGCTGCCTTCAGTTTATATTCAGCCCCTACGTCCATGTTTGTTTCTGTAGTGCCATGGAGCATTCCCTAGTTGAGACAGGCTTTAGGTTAGGGCGTCTCTCTCTGTAGCCCTGTATAGTGA